CAAATTGAAATGATATTTCTTACTTTCTAGTGCAACCTGTGGGTCACGACCCCTTTGGGGGTCGATCGGCCCTTTCACAGGGGTCGCCTAAGACCATCGGAAAACACATATATAATTACATATTGTTTTTGTGATTAATCACTATGCTTTAATTATGTTCAATTTGTAACAATGAAATTGGGGGTCACCACAACATGAGGAACTGTATTAAAGGGTCGTGGCATTAGGAAGGTTGAGAACCACTGTTCTAGTGCAACACTAAGTAATCCAAAATTAAGAGCAGGAAAAAGAGAAGGTGTGATCATCAGAATGTCAAAGATTTAAAAATCAGATGGAAAATCAAGGGGGGAGAGGAAATTTAAGATCCTGACATCATTGAAATGGCTTCTGATGGAATCCAAACTGGCTAATAGGATTGATGAGTTTGAAAAAACGAAGGGTTTAAGCAACTAAAGATGGGGACAGAGATGGGCAGGTTTAGGAAGAAGGAAAATAAAAAGAAAGCTAAGAATTCAAAAGTTGAAAATATTAAAAAATGTGTACGTATTTTTAAAAAATCTAGTTGTAGTATTGTAGATTAATTATATATATAGGACAAAACTATAAAGTTGGATAATAGTATAGAGGTGGTCCTGGTATATAATAAGGTAATGAAAGAAGGTCCCCACTTCATCAGATCCATAACTTTAATGTGAAGGAGAGTTGATTTACTGATGATACTGTAAGCAATTCGGGTTTTATACAACAGAGGGCTCTTCTCTAACTAACATGGAAAACAGTGGCATTGAGATGCACATGGGCAGGTGGAATGTAGTAAAATAATGCATGTGCTCTGGAGAACAATCTGCCCTTGGTCTCTTGAAGATCAAGCGTCTCAGGCACACCAAGGTGACATGGGGCATGAACCGAATCTTAGGTAGGGCCAAGTCTATGGGACTTGGAAACAGAATGGGGATAAAGACTTTTATAGATAAAGTAAAAACAGAAACTTGGAAGTGAAAATGTAAAAAATTATCAATATCCACACCCAAAATGACAACTGAAGAAAAGATGGAAAAGGAAAGGGAAGTCAGATGCTTAAATTAATGAGGAAAGTAGGAGAGTGCCCAGCAGATCAGGAGGAAGCAGGAATTAGATGGTGAGAGGGTAGACTAATGGATGTATTCACTTCTAAGGAGAAGTTGTTGACATGGAGAAGCAATGCTTTGGAAACAGTGAAGAGGCTGCCACTTCTCCCTGTTATCAGCTGTGTGGCAGGACTCCTGTTCAGCCAGTGTTCTGCGGGTGCCATACTAGAAGTCTTTGGCTGGCATTCTGATTGTTTGGTATCCATACCAGTTGCTAAATATGCAGATTATTCCCAATGTCTGCCAGGTGAGGAAAATGGACACATTAAACTTAAATTTAATTAAATTTAAGTAAACCACGCAATTAGGGGGAAAGCCAGTTTTCAATTATAAAGAAAAGTGATGGAAGAACTTACAGAAATATTAAAAGCACAGGAGATTTTGTTCACAAGAGAAGTCAGTGTTAAGGGTAGACCTTGCTTTAAAGGAATGAGCAAAAAGCCCGGCCGGCATAGCTCAGTGGTTAAGTGTCAACTTATGAACCAGGAGATCATGGTTTGATTCCCAGTCAGGACACATGCCAGGGTTGTGGGCTTGATCCCCAGTATGGGGTGTGCAGGAGGCAGCCAATTAATGATTTTTCTCTCATCATTGATGTTTCTATTTCTCTCTCCCTCTCCCTTCCTCTATGAAATCAATATATATATATTACAAAGGAATGAGAGGAAAGAACAGAGAAGCAGAAAATCAGTGCTTAACAGGCATCATTTTCAGTAAGGACTGAAGGAGGCAGGTGTCTGGGAGATAGGCTGTTTCTGCATATTTGCTAATGAGAAGAACACTTCCTGCCTTGGGTAGGGATTTTCTCACTAAGCACACTTCTGGCCTCTTCTCTGCCCCTTTATTCCCTCATTCCCTGGAGAGGTAGAATGAGGAATCTGATCTTTAAATCTGGGGAGTACTGGGTGTGCTTAGCTCAGCCCACCCTTAACTCCTGATAACAGGTCTGTAGATACTGAGTTCTTTCTATTCTTCCATGTAGGGAGTTGCACTCTGGAAACCACCTTGAATTATAACTGCTAGTAATTTCTGCCTCATTGTGGGGTTCAGTGAACAGCCCCATTTACCTCTTACGCTAAGATCTATCCTCAACCTCAGCAATTCACATGACACTGTTATTCCTACTAGAGGCCTGGTGCATGAATTCATGCACCAGTGGGGTCCCTCGTCCTGGCCTGCAGGATTGGGCCGAAACTGGCTCTCCGACATCCCCAAGGGGTCCTGGATTACAGGCCAGGCCGAGGGACCCCACCGGTGCATGATCGGGGCCGGGGATGGACTGAAGGAGGGTTCCAAGGCATGTCTGGCCCATCTTGCCATCCCTCAGCAGCAAGCTAACCTACCGGTCGGAGTGCCTGGCCCCTGGTGGTCAGTGCACGTCATAGCGAGCGGCTGAGCAGCCTTAGCATATCATTAGCACATTACGCTTTGATTGGTTGAACGGACGACTGGATGACCAGAAACTTAGCATATTAGGCTTTTATTATATAGGATTAGCCATACTTTTGTTTCATATTTGTTCAGAATCCAGCTTTGTTGGGGACCTGCTCAGAAATTCCTAGTGAATAAAGGTAGAAAAAGATGGAGTAGAGAAAATTTCTATGTCCTTGGAGCTGATCAGTGCCAAACAGAATGGTGATCAATGAGACTAATAATAGGCTAAGTAACCTGCCCATGGGGCCACAGCTGATAAGTGGCAAAGCCAGTGTTTAAATCCAGGCAGCCTAGCTCCGGAGTATAACATTAGAAACACTATCCTCTACCACTTCTCTCTGAGGTGTGTTTCCCATATGAGGGCCCACTACTGAGAATAATAAACCATTTTATCTTTTATGAATGTCTAAGTAATGATGAATATATTCATAAAATTTATTTTGTCCATTTTTTGAAGATAAAAATGAAAACTATATCACTCATTACTTTGAACATATCTAATCTATATGAAAGCAGAGAAAGGTCAATCTAGATATAGATGGAGCCAGGCAGCTGTTATAGACTCATGATACTGTTATGGGTAATAATATAGTTATAGCCATATGTTCTCTCCCCCCGCTTCCCTTCAGAGCAGTTACTTGAGAACATGAGACTGTGTAGACTCAGTTCTATTTCCAGTGCCTCACTTCCCATTCTGACTCTTTAGTCCTCTGCAATCAGATTTTTGCCTCAATCACAAAATGATCCTGGCAAAGTCATCAAAGCCCTTCTAATTACAGCTGGACGCAGCAGCCCTGACCTTACTCGAATTCTTCAAGCAGCCAGCACTATTAACTAAGCCCTTCTTTCTGAAACTCCCTCCTCTTGGCTCTTGACAATACTCTCCAGGTTCTCTTACTTCCTCAAGGACAGCCACTTCTCAGGTTCTTTTCTGGTTTCCTTTCCTTCCCCTATTCCTTATGCACCTGGGTTTCCTGGGACTCTGTGCTGCACCCTCTTCCATTGGCATCCTCTTGCCTACTCACAGTGCTTACCTGCCACCTCTGCCTGGATACTCCCCATCCCACCATCTATTTGGCCTACAGTTCTCCAACGGCTACTGGTTATTTGTTTCTAGGTGTTCTGCCAGTGCCTCAACAACATGAATTAAGTAACAAGTCTCCCTGTCCTTAGAACTGTGTTTATCGAATACATCCTCATAATTGTGTGGGAGGGATCACGACAAACTCAAATCTAATTATGTTCAGATTCCATCACCAATGGACTAGAATGTGGTACACACAGGTATTCTAGGATTTATGACTTTAAAAATTAATTCACAATAATAATCATTGAAGATTTCTAGTCTTTGTATGCTAGTTTTAAGAAATCACTGAGCACCTTTATGTAAAAAAAATAATAATAACTACATTGAACAGGCTTCACATAGATTAAGGACCTATCAGATTATCCTGTTCAATCTTCACAGCAATCATACAAATTAAATAGTTATATTTTATGAATTTAAAAACTAAGGCTCAGGGAGACTAAGTGACTTGTTCAAGATCAATAAGGTAACTTAAAAAGTCAAACTCAAGATCATTTGGTTTAAGGTTGTACATTTTTCCATAAATCATACAGTTTCTGAACTTTAAAAGAAACTGATTCAGGTGCAAGATCTTGGTCTTTCCCCAACATTTGTTTTTGGATGTTTGCTCAGTTACATGATCTCAGTTTCTTCTAAACTTATATTCACCATCTATTAAATATAATTCTAAAATATTCTTGACTCTCAATAACAATAATACTTGTCACAGAAGTATTTTCCCAAGGTCCTTTCCTAGTCAGCATTCTGGTCCTCAGATTCATCTTTATTTAATTTTACTCTCTGCAAATGCAGACATGAATCATCAATTTTCCATTTTAGTGTCCATAAGCAATATTTAATTTCTATAAAACATCTTCAAATTGGATATACAAATAGCATGATGAGGCAAAACATGTTCATTGCCAAGAGTCCAAAAGATCTAGATTCAAATCCTGGCTTGGCACTTGTTAGTTCAAATTCTTGGCGAGTTCCTCACATTCATTAAGCCTGTTTCCTCATATTAAGAAAGAATTTTACTATTGACCTTACTAGAATTTTTTGAGTACTGAAAAAAGTAATGTTTGCAAGGATCCTAACATAGTACTTGCCTAAGGTAAACAAAAATTATCAGGTGTTGGTAACATTATAATTGGTATCATTAGGTTGAATATATGCAAATATATTGTGAATAATCAAGAACAGATGGCAAAGGGCACCGGACACTGATGGAACTAAAACTAGGACTTTAAAAAAATAGTCTTTGCATTTAAATCTTAGGGTATTTCTGGGGAAGTAGCTGGTTCTCTGTCTTATATACAAGAGTCATGAAACCCCCTCCCCATTAGTTGTGTTCTGACATTGATTATTCTGACCTGATGCTAGCAGATTTTGCTTTCAAGTCGTTCCACCTTTGGTTCATATCATCGAGTCGATGTTGAAGCATAGTAGCCTCTTCAGAATTTCCTAGTGCTTTTACCATCTTCTGCCTGTTCCCATCAATACTTTTAAATATGTCATTGTGGGCATCAATTTCCGCCTGGATGTCCTAAAGATAGAAAAGCAGAGATAATGAAAATGTTAGGTATTAGTGTCAACATTACTTGGGATTGCTATACAGAGTTTTATCTTATATTTCATAGATGAGGTGTATTTTTTAAAGAAAAATAGTTAATTTCATCTTAAATGATAACAAATTCAAGTGTTTCCACAATTCTTACATTAAAAATAATAATCTTTAAATCTTCAATACCTTGATTCCCAAGTTCTTAAAAATAAAATACATTATAACCTTAATTTCATGTATTAGCTAGTTCGATTCAATCAAATTATTTATCCCCTTTATATATGGGTAAAACTCCCCTCAAAATATGAAGTTTTACAAAGGTTGCTGGATGTTACATCCTTTTAATTGCTTTGTTTTCTACAAATTTATTAATTGTTTATTCTTTCAATCTAATAAAGTTTATTTCTACAATTTTTAAAGAACATTTTCATAAAAATGTCCTGTTTAGGAAATAAAAACTAATTGTAAAGTAATATTTCTCCTATTAAATAGATAATATTTTATTTATTTTTATAAAGTAAATTTTAGTGTAGTTTAAATAAAATAAAAAATTATTATAAATTAATAATAAAAATTTGTTAAGACTTTGAAGAAGCATTTTGTCAATATGGATCAAAGAACCTTAAAACTGTTGAAATTGCCCAGCTGGTAGTTGAGCACTGACTTATGAACCAGGAGGTTACAGTTCGATTCCTGGTCAGGGCACATGCCTGGGTTGCAGGCTCAGTCCCCAGTGCGGGGCATGCAGGAAGCAGCCAATCAATGATTCTCTCTCATCATTGATCTTTCTATCTCTCCCTCCCTCTCCCTTCCTCTCTGAAACCAATAAAAATATAATTTAAAAAATCTGTTGAAATTATGTATCCTAGGAATATTTATGTATAAACACATCTATTACATTGATTGTTTTAAAACTGAAAAAAAGTGGAAACTATCAAGCACTCCCACTTCTGGGAATATATCCAGAAGATATGAAAACACTAATTCAAAATTATATCTGTACCCCTGTGTTCATAGCAACATTATTTACAATAGCCAAGACATGGATAAAACCTAGGTGTCCATCGGTGGAGGAATGGATAAACTAGTTGTGAGATATATATGTGGGAATGTTTTCTATCCATAAAAAATGAAGAAATCCTACCATTTGTGACAACATGGATAGACCCTGAAGGCACTATTCTAAGTGAAAGAAGTCAGACAGAGAAAGACACATACTGTACAATCTCACGTGGAATCTAAAACAAACAAACTCAGAGAAAAAGAAATCAGACTTTTTGCCATTACCAAAGGTGAGAGTGGGGAGAGGAGAAATTGGAGGAAGATAGTCAAAGGGTACAAGCTTCCAGTTATAAGATAACTAAGTACTAGGGATGCAATATACAACATGATGACTACAGTTAACATTGTTATATGACATATAGAAAAGTTAAGAGAGTAAATCCTAACAGTTCTCATCACAAAAAGACTTTTTCCTTTTTTTCTTTTCATTTCTTGTTATTGTATCTATATAAGAAGATAGATGTTAGCTTAACCAATTGTGGTAATCACTTCACAATATCTGTAAATCAAACCATGATTCTGTATACCTTAAACTTATACAAAGATGTATGTCAATTATTTCTCAAAAAAGCTGGGAAAAAGTGGAAACTATTATAACACATTAATGGTGATATAATAATCAAGTTTAAAAATGGAGGATGCAAAACTATATGTTATGTTAATTTTAAAGTTTGTGTTTAAATCAGCATATGTATTTCTATATCATTGCACACAGATACATTTAAAAAGCTGTAAGCAATAAGTCAAAATAGTATAATCTCTGTAGAAGAGGATCAATGATGATGTTAGTGTTCATCAAAAGTTAGGAAGAAAATCAACATCTAAAAAGTGATCAAAGAAAAGGAAATCAGCATACATTGTTGTTGTTGTGTGTGTGTTTTTTTTAATTTAACATTTGATGGCATATTTATTTGGACAAATATACCAACAGCACCTAAAGGCAGAAAACTATCTTAATATGTCTTCTGTATCCTTCACAGTCTCTGAGCCTAAAATGAAAAGATACAAAGAGATAACACATAGATAGATACATAGATAGATAGATAGATAGATAGATAGAAGACAGACAGAAATTATGCATCCTAGGAATATTTATGTATTAACACATAATAGATGCATAAATGCATGAATGAATGTATGAATAAGTTCATCTTGACTGACTGGCATATCAGCCACTCTAGCCCCACCAAAAAAATCAGATAATTAAAGAATTATAATGGAATATAGTAATAATTTTGTTTAATGTCTTCATTTAAAAATTTTAACAAGGGAAACTTAAAATTATTTAGAAGCCTGCATTGCAAAATCCTGCCTAAGCTTTTCGCTGGAAATTTAGAATAACAAGCAATTAATGAATCATGCTCCTTCACAGATCACTGTGCAATGATTCACTGGCGTTTTAAAATCAAGATGCCAGCATGTGAGGCTGTCAGATTATGACCCCAATGTAGCATCAAATGCTAAAGTAAATTAAAGTTTCCAAGAAGTAGGGTTTACTCTCACTGCTCAGCTGGGAAACTTGCTCTAGAAAGACTTACCTCTGTCCCCTGAAAGCCTTTCTGAACATTACACAGTACAAAATGGTTACTGATAATTAGTTATGGGAATGCAATCCACCTAGAAGCACAAAGCAATGTTCTTCCAATCATTTAACATAAGCCAGTCATGTGCAGAGAGGGGCCACAGCAAGGTATCCAAGCCATTAAACTAACACTTGAGAGCAGAAGAAGTATTTTAAAGATTCACTGTGAGGCTTGAAACCTATCTTCAAACAATGTAAACAAGGGTTTAGAATTAAAGGACTAATGTTTTTCTCTAAGTCAAAGCACCATCAAAAGCCTAAAATGCACCCTTTCTGAAGAATCTTCCAGAAGACAATTACAAAAGCTCACATCAGCTCACTGGTCAACAGTTAGTCTTTCTGAATACAACACCCACTGCCCAGAACAAAACAAATTCACCAATAAAGGAAAACATTGATGTATTTGCTTACTACTTTAATCACTGATATTTTAATACCAATTTTTCCCTTAACTTGACATATCTTTAATGATACAACCCATAGACGTATTATAAGCAAACACTTCATAATGTGTATCACATACATTTTACTTCTTTAAAATGTCCTCTAATCAAGTAGTGGCCCTAATTATGTAAGCAAAACTATTTCTTTAGATTATGATAAAAAGGACTGTTTGAACCATCCATAGGAAACAGATTTAGAGAGTACCACCAGGAAGACTTCAACAACTAAATTGGTGCTAGAATGGATTCATCCTCTCTGGGCCTTGTTGACATAATTTTGGTTTATTTTTGCATGGCATATTTACCTAACCCTACATGGACACAGCAATGTTTTCCCTGAAGGAGTCCTGACCCCTTTCCTGAAGGTGAAGAAGTAAGGTCAGCAACAACTTCCCGACTGTATCCCAAGGCGCAGGCTAGATCAACAACGCTAACCATTCAGGGAAAGGAAGTCCACTGTTCCTTGCAGAATAAGACCAGACTTCAGAAACAGTTAGGACTGATGATCAGGAGTCAGCAGGATTATGGCCAGAGTTTTAGGTTTTGAAAATGAGGAATTATAACATCAAAAAATAGGTATTACCTAAAAAATAATACAGCAACCAGATAATATCATCAAGGGTCATTAGTGATATGTAAATATACTTTGAGACAGTTTCTAAGGCTGCTGATGAGTTATTGCAGTTAATTAGTCAATTTATAATTAAAATTAATTTATTTACTTCAATGAATTATCCAATCAATAATTGATAAGCTACATTTTCTTTCAACAATTAATCTCATGGGTTTTAACCACTCTATTAAGAATTATGAAATTGCCACTTGGTCTGCAGTAGCATTTATTAAGAAATCAATACCAGTAATGTTTTTCCCATTTCCTGTGATTATAAATATATGTTAGACAACAGAGCAGAAAAAAATTTAAATTACTAAGTGGAACAAGCTTACAATTAACTGCACTTTAAAGATAATTTGAACAAGCCAACTTGCAATGACAAAGAATCAATAAATGAACAAATGATATTTTAAATTCCAGCATAGCAAACACTGCTATTGACAAAAATATTTTTCACAGCGAAGAGTTCCAAATTCTTGACTCTATACCAATTGTTACTAAAACACACCAAATACTAGTGAATTAAAATACAACAGCTTTCCTTCCAAGGTGCACTTTATATATCAGGTCTAATCTGCATACAAACACAAGTTACTAAATGTATCATGTAGCGAACTATTACCCCACCTTAATTATCAAAACCAGATAGTATATTCAAAACTGAACAGGCCTGAAAACCTAGTCAAGGATTTTTCATGTTAAATGTTTAAATCTACATTCATGGGGCACCTGTTCCTCTACGCCTCACCTGTGTAAAGGAGTTCTTATTGCCCAGAAATCTCTCAATTTCTTCCCCTAACACACACACACACACACACACACACACACACACACACGCACACAATCTCAGTTATTTCCTTATTTTAAACTTATCTCTTAAGTCCCAGCTTAAATGTAATTTCTTCAGGAAAGACTTCACCACACCCCAATTAAACTGGGGCTACCTGTATTCTTATAACTCCCTCTACTTTGCTAAATCACCTACATGTACTAAAAAAATTCCTTATTTAATGTCTGAGTCCTCCCACCAGGCTGGAAGCTCAATGAGGGGAAGTCTCCCTGTTCTCCACTCCATCCCTGAACTCGGTCCAGTGCCACTTCACAAATATTTACTAAACACTGAATGAATGAATAAACCTTGAAATTGGAAACTTACAGTGTCTTCAAGGACACATTTAAATATTACAAGTTGAGCAGTAAAATATAGCTTCAAAGTATAATTTTAAGTTAGTCATCATAAAGGAGGTAAATGCCTTTAAGGAAATTTTGTACTGAGTGG